TGGTGAAAGTTGGTGACACTAAGTGAAGGTTTTTAATTGATTAAAAATTATATGAATTGAAAATTAGCCAAGTAATGGCTAATAAATGATTTTGATGGTTAACTGATACTATGTTAATTGTTGATTTAATATATGGACCATTAGGATGGATTATGACTCATTGACTCAAGTTGTGTGACATGAGTTATAGTCTTTATTAATGTTATTTATCATGATAAGTGATGTGGATCACTTATATGTTGTAGGGATTGTTGGTGGAATTTGTTCGGAAGTTAAGGAACAAGCCAAGTCCTATTTTGTATAAGAGGAACCCTTTTAGTACCAAAGGGTTGAGGTAACAGGGGAATTTATATTTCTTATTATTTTGTTTTAGCTATTTTTGAATAAATATTACTAGCTATCATGCATTACATGTTTTAAAAGATTAAATGTGCTTTATAAGGGGTTATGGGGTATTACTTTGATTATAGTATAATTATGTTTTCTAATTGTTTAACAACAATATTTTTATGGAAACGAGATTTGTTTGCATGTATTGTAATCGTAAAGAATAGAAGTTACACTTAAGAAAGTGTAACTAATAAGGTACCTTATATAGACCAAGGAACCGTTTAAGGGAGATTTATAAATGTTATATTACCTTAGAGTATTAAAGTGGTCAATACTCGGGAAAGGTAGACAAGAGTAAAAGGCATGATCTTGGCGAGAGTTCACCAATGAGAAGTTGTGGACTTGTAATATTTTATAGCACACTGCCAGTACTTAGTGTTGCCTTATGTATTGTGGGCTCAGTACACTAAAGTGGTTAGTGTATTGATTGTTCAACACCTCTCAGTAGGGGAGAGAATCTGACATATAAAGTGTGAGGTTGAGTGCCTAAGCCAAGGTAGCCCTCACATAGAGAATAAGTCAGGCTGGCCCTGGGAAGGAGTTAGCTTCGACTACTCAGGATTCATGTCGAAGGGGCATAGGCAGTTCGGTGGATTAGATCATGCCTTAGATTATGTTTTGTGCTTGTGAAAGTACAAGTAGGTATAAGGTTTAACTACGAGTTAAAGAGTGCCAAGGGGCATTCTGTTGGTCATGAAAGGCCATACCGGCCTATGTCATGCATTCATGCATTTTAAATGGCTAAATTATATACTACGTTGAATTTATTATTTGTTTATTCAATTATAGCTTACTTTGTAATAATCAATGTAGATTTCTCTGTTACTGAGATTGTGGTTGTCTCATCCTTTTCTTTTCAATATTTCCAGTCCAAGTGAAGGAACCAATGGAGGACGAGAAAGGAGCAAAGCTAGGGGTTGCTTGTAGATTGTAAAGAACTGCAACCCCTTTCTTTTGAGCAAATCTATTGTAATGTAGTTAGGATTAGGGTGCCAGTAGAATGTGATTATGTATATATGTGTGGATTGTACGACTTGTGTACGAATTTTTATTTGCTTATAGACTTATGGCTAAAGACTTGGTTATGGTGTGTGGTTTTAATGGATTTATTTAGTAGACCAAGTTTTCACTACAAAAAAATATTTATTTTGGTATATATGTGATTCCAAAAGTAAATGCAAAGTGGTTGCATTGCAAATGATTTGCTATGGGCAAACATACACTTTAGATAGAGAAAGTGGGTACGTGGGCCCCACGGAGATCTTTAAGTCAATTGAAAATATTTAGCGTGTGTATTCATATGTGTATATGATATTTAGAATAGTTTTTGGCCACTCTTGTTTAATTTGTGAATTTTTGGGATTTAGTGTCCATTTTGGGAAATGGCACCCGGGTGTCAAATTTTGGTATAAAGGGCTTTTCTATCATTTAAATGTTCTATTAGGTATTTTTAGTCCTATTTGATATGTCCAAATTGTTCCCACAGGTTTGTGACCATTAGGATGAAATTTGGATAATTTTGAAAATGATTTTTACCTAAAAAACTGCACTTTTGCATCCAATGTCTAAATCTTAATTTGGATTTCTTTAAAATTTGGGTCACAAGTAAAACTTTTATAAGCTTCATGTGAGCTTTGAAATCACGTTGATTAGACACCGGACGGAGAAATGGTGCACTCCGAAATTTGGTCCGGAGGAGTTATCATGACTGCAAAAGTGCTGTCATGATAGCCACAGTGTTGATGTTGCAACAAGCATGAAATTTAATCCGTCCGTTGGATATTTTCAAAATTTGGTATGCTAATAGTACTCTTTAAAAGTGACATGTGAGCTTTGGAATCGCTTCGATTGGAGGTCGGATGATGAAATGGTACACTCTAAAAATTAGTCTAGAGGTGTTGTCAAAGCTGTCATGATAGCAAAAATAATCAAACTTATAACATGTCTAATTTTTAATTTAACCGTTAAATCCTTTTGAAATTTGGTGCACCACTAGTAATCATTAAGAATGACATATGAGCTTTAAAATTACTTCGATCTGGGATTGGATGACAGAACGGCACCTCCCAGAAGTTGGCCTGAGAGGGCTAATGCTGTCATGATAGCATTTTTCTACCCCGCTTTTGCCTAGCTTGCTTCCATACGCTATAGGTAAAATCTATAAATTTTTTTAAAAGGTTTTAAATGTTTATTTTGCAATGGTGTATCTATTTAGTGATTTAAATAATTTGTTTCCTAAATTAATTCTAGGATCAACTCCTTAACCATACTTAGTTTATTTGAATTGTGTGATTTTTGGATAACACTCGGGGGGAGTGTTATAAGCACCTTGGAGAAACCTTTTGATGTAGCATTCATATGTAATAAAAAGTCTATCAAATATATAATTTTTCGAGTCAACCCACTTTACAATTGTGTCTAGGTCCATCTCCTTTAATTTCTCGCAAAGCCATAAAATCAACATGTATGATTGTTGTGGAAGACCATGTATTCCTCCAATTCTCTATCTTTTCCTCTCAAAGCTTGTTGATATGCGAGGTTCAACCCATACTTTTTATAGAGGTCTTATCTAATCTCATTTGAAATTTTCTCCACATTCCCCCCCATAGCATTAATGATGATTGATGATGTCAATCTTGAGTTAGCCTTTTGCTTTAATAGGAGGTTGTCTTGAGCAAAATACATGTGTTCATTATGGAATTTTTTCACGCACAATATAGAGGTTGTCTTCCTAAGAGTATAAGCTGATATCTTCTATTTACAACCATCAATATTGCATTTGACAATCATTTTTGTAGGGCTGTTTCTTATAAATATGTAACCAAACCTATGAGCATGGCTGTATTTATATAGTGCTTTTCTAAATACAATTGCATCGTCAAATGTCTAGCTAACACCCATAAATAAATCTTTCCATTTTATCGAATTAACCTCAAGCAGTAGTGCAAGAGCATTTTGTGTTGAACATGGCAAAGAGGGTGAGATACTTTCAAGCTCTTGCCTACAAGGAGATCCTGGTAGTGACCATGGTAACAAATCCTCCATCCTACATTCACAATTACTCATAGGTCAATATAAATGGTGATTAAACTAATTAAAAATACAAATAACTAAGAACAACAACTTACTCCATCGAATATTTCATTGCTTCATGTATTTCATTATCATTTGTCTTAACATACACATGTGCTGACTCATCATTATATTTTATCAAATGTTGTACTCCCTCATCGTCTAACAAGTTTGTGTATGTGTTTTCACTAAACTTCATTGTAAATTTCAAGTCAGCTGTACCACTTTCAACTCTTGTCGCTGATGACACCATCCTCAATAGCTCTTCATGATTTATGTTTTCTCTAATCAATTTAAAAATTAATCTCCCACCTTCATAGGTCATCTTCCTTTGTGAATCTTTTACAAAATGATCATCAACATGAAAATAACAAAATACCTCTTTTGCTGAAGTACCTGCCATATGGAAAATAAACCTAGAACAACTAGAAGCAACATACAAATTTATTACTTCACAACTATCCATTCCATAATCCTAATCATGACTACAAAAATTCAGCATTCATGTTTCATTTTTCAACATTCATGCACTTTTAATCACAGATCAGAAAAATTCAACATCCATGTTACATCTTTCTTGTTTTTCACTCCTCACCTTTTTCAACCGTGTCATCCTCAGAAATCATTTACTATGTATGTCTATATTTATAGTCTATTGATCATTAAGAAAAGTTACCTTTTTCCCTAGGTATAAAAGAAAGAGAAATGGTGCAAGACAATATTTACAAAGACTAAAACATTCTTTGTGTGTGTGCATGATAGAGAACGTGCGTAAAAGAAGAAAACAGAGCAATGGAAGAGAAATGGAAGAAGAAGATGCAGATTTCTCTTATGTGCATGGTGGAGGAAAAAATGTAAAAAAAGCAATGTATGTAATTACCTATTAGAAGATGATTATAACTCCATTAATTTTTCCCGAACATTTTCAACGGATGAGAGCACATTTGATAAGAATTTTTCCCACCCAAAAACAAGAAAACAAAGCACACGAGATGAGCTTCTTTCCTATTACCTTTTAGAGTTTAGTTAGGGGGCAATTTTGTAAAGTCAACTTTATTTTTTATCCCAATTAAGGACCATGGTCCTGAATTGGAATTTCTATGTTTTAGGTCCCTAATTGAGATTAATGTTTTTAAGGGGTCTTTAATTGTCATTTTCCCTTAACATAACTCCATCGTTAGTAATAATCAAAATTACATTTAATTTTGGTTCAAAACAAATCCATGATTGCGAAATTTAGGGGAAATATCAATGAATGACCTTTAAAAAAATTTAATTTTTAAAAATATATCTATTAACAATTTGACAACTAGAGTTATTATTTTAACACGTACAAGATTTACTCATTGTGTTTTTAAAAAATTAAATTATTTCAATAGTCCTTCATTTAATATTATCCCACGAATTTATGGATAGATATGTGTAAAGAAATGCAAGCTATTAATTTTGTTTTATTGCTTGTTTATGATATGTGGAGATAAGTTAAATCATTTCCATATGCTTTCCGACGTATTAAAAGATAAATTATTTCCGTAACACATACTTTAAATTTTATTAAAAATATTACAAGTCGAAATATTGTTTTAATAAAATTTGAAATATATAAATAAACAAACTTCGTATGGAAAAAACAATTTCAACACACAATTTTTTTTGGGCCAAATTTCTGCTCACAAGTAACTGCATTTTATTTTATCCAATAATAGACAATTTTGTCTTTTTTGTTTGTGTCTGGACAACAGAGGTAGCCTGTGGTCGTCTTCATATTCCTTTGAGTTTACAGAAGGCGTACAAACCGGACCCGAGGAAACCAAGTGATTGGCCAACAACATTTAACTGAAAAACATAATTCAAAACAAAGTTTTAAATAAAAGATGATAATTAGAAGAAGCAATATAAAATCAATACATGGATGAATTAATGTTTTGTTTACCAAATCAAACGGAAGTCCTCCAAATATGAGCCAGCCAAACCCAATTGTAAAAAGATCCTAAAATCATAGGTCAAGAAACAGTTTAATCAAGGAATACAAACCAAAAGAAAAAAAAAAGCCAAGAATATATTTATACTCCTTTTATTAAAAAATATAAAGCATTTTGAACCAAATCTCACACTTAATAAATAAGTTATTTGTCTTTAAACTGACATTATCTTTTTATATTTACTCCTATTTAATAAGATATTTTACCCTAAAAAAATATAAAGCAATCTATTTAATAGGGGCAGTTTTTTTAAAAAAAAATTATACCTTAAAAGATTTAAAATACTTTATATTTTTTAATATCCAACTTCTTAAAAATGCTTAACATCTTTTAGCAGAGAGTATATATATTATAAAATAATATATGGAGTCTACTTCAAGTATCTGCACCTATCATCCTTCATCCTTCCATCTCTCTCCGTCCACATATAATATGTATTCACAAGATTTAAAAAATAAAAACTTTATTGTGGATTTAAATTTTATTGTGGAATCCTTCAATATTAAAGCAAAATTTACGAACAGAGAGCGGCCAAAGCTTAGTGTACATGGCACCTAAATAGAAAGCAAAATTTTGGTACATGTCATTAGCTAATATATGCATCGATAATGTTGCAATTGGAATCCTCTACATCTGTGAAATTGAATACACCTAATACATTAAGATAATAAAGACGAAGAAAAGGATAAGTATCAATATGGTATGGGCACCCCTTGTATAGTAACAATTTTTTGGCATATTCTTTCTTTAAATACATGTTTTTTTTTAAATCCTCGTATTTTATATTTTGGCCATGTGTGGCATCTTAGAATTGTAAAAAGGAAATGAAATCAGACATAAAATTGTCTAATTAACTTGTTTGGTATACTTGAATTACTTTCTCAAAGGAATCTAATCCCATCAAAATTGATATTTTAATGGAATCCAATTTCATTATAGAGTTCACAGAATCTAACTCAATATGAAATTAGTTAATGTGTCATTAAAAAAAATTAAATAAAGAGTGTTTTGAGTTTCAAAAGCACATTCTTTGTTTCAACTGCTAAGTTTTTCATTAAAAAATAAAATAAAGGGTATTTTATTCTTTTATTTTAAAATTAGGATTCCGATTACATTAAGATTCCATCTTCATACCAAACATATTTTTAAAACTCAATTCAATTCTATTTTCAATTTCAATTCCATCAAAAACTCATCCATCATACCACAAGGGGCCTCATGTAGAGAATCTAATTTCAATATTAGGGGTGACAAGATCAACAAGAAGTCGGATAGAAAAATGGTGGCTAGTTTCATAACCCAAAAATGAAAAAGGTGGCAAGACTAAAAGTAGATGAAAAAGTAAATAACAAAAGATATGCTAAAGAAAGTATTATAACTCAATTTTTGAAAAAACTAGTGAAGATCTCTTGCATTGCACCGAATTTGAAAAATGAGTTGTACTATTTGTAACTTATAAATAGTGTAGTCTATTAGATATTTAACATTATACTTGCTGAATAAAATAGGGAAAGGAATTACGAACCTTCAAATTGCCACAAATTGTCTGCGTAAGTGCTGAATTGAGAGTTGTATTTAAAAAAACAAAGTAGTTGATTAAGAAAGCCAAAAAACAAGAAAGAAGCATTACAGCCTGCAAAAGAAAAAGTAAAACCAACAAAATCAACAAATTAAACCCTTGTGCATGTCTATCAATTGGCGGATGCATGAACAACAGGAAGTTCTTTCATAGACACATACTTGTTGATCTTGACATGTAAAAAGTAAATACTCGGAAAATACATTATAGCTTAAGATAAGGCTTCTGAATATCATATAAGCAGATAGAGTTTTTCAATCTCATGAGTTGCAATCAACCAGGCATCACAGTGCCATCATGCAGTTGAATCAAATAATAAAATTTTCGCTGAGCATCAACAAGATGAATTTATCACAAAGGTTAGAGTGGTTCCAGATGAAATGATCATGAAAACTTAAAATGCGATCCATAATGAAGCTCTTTTATTCATTTATTTAGCATTAGCAATGAATACTCTTTCCTACCAACAAAGGTTAGTTTAGTTGATAAGGATTTAACCTATAACCTACAAGGTCATGGATTCAATTCCGCTACCGATGTGAGAACCTTGTTCATGGGTAATCTGTAAATATTTCTATAAGCTGATTGTGGGTTCAAATTCCGCTATTGATGTGAGAACCTTATTTGTGAGTGATCTGTAAATATCTCTACAAGTGCTTTTTGAGTTTGGAGGCATGTTCTAGCCACGGTGAATTTTCAAAACCTAACCCATCTAAATTTTTTGTACATACACCAAAAAAGAAAAAAAGAATACTCTATCCTACTTTACTTTTGCATAACTGAGATGGTCAAATGTGAAAAGGTTCAATTTGTGTAGGAAGTAGGGACAAAGTTCGAACAAGAAAATTGGCAATGATAACAATGCAAATGATTAAGAAAGTAGAAATTTACATAGACGGATATACCACAGTTTTCCTCATTTGCACGATGACTATAGAAAATTATCAGTAAATGCTCATAATGAAAGTGACAAACATGCAATTAATGAATGCAGCTAATTAGCCATAACGTTTAGGCGCAAGATGCAAGAAGTACCTGAAATCCATGGTCATACAAATAAGGGAAGTTCAATGTCGTTTGCAGATCTCCTCTAATTGATGACCAGATCAATAAGATTGGTCCACAAATCACACCTAAAAATAAAATCACAGCAGACAAGCCTGAGTCTAGGACAGGTGAAATTGAAGTTTAAACAACATCAAAGACACATAGTCTTGTCATATCAGAAGACAAAGGAAAAAAGAAAAAAAGACATCTTACCATTACACCACATAAGACCAAATGTATTAAGGCCACTGGATTTACCTATGGAGGCGATCAATGCAATGTAATTTAGTAATTAAATTCAACCAATTAATGAGCCAGCCGTAAAAAGAAAAATTGAACATCTTACCAATACGAGAAATAGAAGAAAGATATACTGCTGTACAGATGTTTGCTAGGAAAACAACTGAATAGGAATACGCATCAAATGCCAAGTCCCGAGCTCCAGCAACGAATGCACCAGCTATAATTATCCCTACACTAATAAATTCCTCGGATTTGTCAAGCAGTGCATTAGTTATACAAAAAATTTCATTTGCAGATTTATGTTACTAAAATTTGACAGAGCATCAGAGACCATCTACCAGGCGTAATAAGAAAAAACCCATAAAGATGTAAAGATGAGTAGGTAAAAATATTAGGATTTTCTCATGCATAATAATAAAAAAAAAAAAGTAAAGAGGTTCTGAAAATTGTCTCGTACAACAGGAATAAGCTTAAAATAATATAGCTATAACTCCTACAATTGACAAGACTCTAATCCATCAGGAATATAGGAAGTCCATGGTAAGATGTCTATCTGAAGTTCAAGTAGACTCATATTTTGGTTCCATCAAGATTCATGTCTCTAGTGATTACAGAATTTAAGTTCATAAACCAACAAGCACTGTGCAGCAAGCAATTGCAAGCAATATAGCCCATTCACATTTACAACTTAATCTACATCTTCTCAGTTACTCACAAGAAAAATAACTTTTTACGGAAACTGGTAGACTACAACTTGAAATTGATCTCATTCCACAATAAGTAAAAATTATGGCCATATAAAGCTACTTATAACAAGTTCTAGCTCTGAATTATTCATTGGTTGGTTCTGTGTTTTTGCAATGTGATCCTGTAGTATAGCATGTTCATCAAGAAACTCAAACTGCACAAATGGAAGCATAAATAAATCAAAGAGAGCATACAAGTCACAATCTTCTCCTTCTTTACTTATCATCTTCAATTCACGCACAACTATTAAATGCAACAGTGTGTGGGTGGCTAAACCTGCAAATAACAAAACGTGAATGCCTCTGCCCCGTGAGAAAATACTCCACAATCATTGTAAAGGCCACAGTAGTTCGCCTCAGTGTGGTGTACATGGGAACATTTATGCCACGCACAGATTCCATGGTTACAATCTTTCACACAATAAGGGAAGGTAAGGTTAGAGAAACTTGGGTCTTTCCTCATCCAAAAACATCTGAAAATGTATCAAATGCTAACCATGTACAGTAAATATGTTAGCGCAAGAGGAAGGGTTTGAGCTAATGTCCCAAGGGACACAAAAGTTGTTGGGTTGTTAGAACTGCTCTGCAGTTCGCTCTCTGTGAAAGAAATTAACTTCCAGCATCTCATCGCATAGAGAATCAAACATGAACAAACCAGCTGAAGCAAACATGAGACATGAATTCAGTGTCGAGGAGAGAGAAATGAATCATTGATAACAAATAATTAAAAAAATTACAATAGTAAGAGTCAGAGACATGAAGGGAGGCAGAGAGAACAATAGTAGCAGATAGATAGAATTTAACCACAATAAAATTCAAAATGTTGGGTTAAGAGCTAAGCAGTGGCAATTAGAGAAGCACAATATAACAAAATTGGACCTTAAACCACCTTGGAAAATGAAATACCTGCAAAAATGTGATGACACTTGCACTCGGAAAATTATAAGAAGAGAGGGCTGCTTTGTTGAACATGACCAAAAGAACTGCATATTCAACAGTTTTCATGAGAATATATGTAATGAGGGCGCATCTATCATGTTGACTCATTCATTAATAAATTTTAAACTACTATAAAAATAGACATATAGACAAGAGAATTAAAAAAGATGACAAATAACTTTATGATATTGCAACATATAAAGTAACTAGTGACCAGAAAGAAAGATACTACACTACAGATTGAAGACCATGAGTGCAGAGGCCAACGGATTTAAGTAACCAAAAAAAGCAAGTAGCTTTTCCTCATTAGGCCCGGAAATTAATCCCATAATTTAATGTCTCATACAGTTTTATCTTGGAAAATTAAACTTGTTAGTGTTACTTGTACTTGTAGTATACATCTCAAGAATTTGGCAGCACATATCTTGACCATGGTGAAATGGAAATTGAACATATATAAAATAGAGAAAGAAAAAATAATGTACATGATATTCATGCTTTAATCAATCAATTTAGCAAATACAAATTAGAATGACAATTTCTAAGAATGCCCGCTTTCATATAATTTAATTCACCTTTGTTCCGTTTTATTTGCGCATTTTAAAAGAGAATCACAATCACAATCACCTTTGTTCATTACACCTTTAGTTGCCCAAGCTATGTCCACCAAAGTGTATGACATGAAATCCTATAGGGTCAAGATTCAACCCTAGGCGGAGCACTGTAGCAGCATATATGATAAGAATTATAGGTATCGTTAGGGGATAAGCTCAAGAAGGCAACCATTAAAATCATAATTGAAGTAGGTTCTGATTGAGAACTCTACTATTGAACTACTTTTTACTAAAGTTTGTGCCTATGGTTTGAATTCGCGAAGTCAACAATTGTAGTTAGTGGACTACCAAAAACTATATACCTCTGGGATGCTGACCTCAGACAAAATGGGCACTGTTTATTGTAATCATAAATTGCAAAAGTGGCTCCCTTAAAGTTACTCGCTTATCAGAATTCTCAATGTTTTCACATTATAATTTGAGTTTAGAGTAACTTCAGACTACTCTGTGCAACAACTTGCTTTAGGACAACATTGAAACACATCAAGTAAGCCTATCATAGTTGTAATTAACTAAAGCTACCTCACCTCAGACGATTATCCGACTTACACAGTTTCTTCACACTAGAACAAATCACACGCGTAGCTAATAATAATTCTTAGTTTATGATCAGAACCGAACAAGCGCAGAAAATATTGAATTCAAATTCCTCAGTAGTATTCATTTCCCGCCACGCGACATCGAATATCACGTTATGAAACAACACCAAACCAATTTCAAGAAGGAAAAATAAAACAGAAAGAAGATTTAAGTCAAGCACACAATAAAATCCAACAAACTGCACAAGCTCAACCTCATAACGTAAATGACAAGCATAGTGACACTGATAAGTCGAAGCAAAAGAAAAGGCCTAAGAAAGAGCAAAACGAAGACGACGAAGAAGGTGAAAAAGCGACAGTGGTGGCGGAGGAGGAAGCAGAGAAGTTAACAAACCGGCAGAGGCCATGTAAGAGAGAGCAGCGTAGAGTCCTCTGGTGGTCATACGAGAGGGTTTGTGAGTGAGAGGAAGCGTCTGATTCTTGAGAGGCTCCATTGACATTGACAGGAAGCTCTGTGGCAGGCAAGCAAGACAGGGATTTACCAGTGAAGTGAGGGCACTATTTTATAGCAGTTGAGCTAGGAGACAGACAAGAGAGAGAGAGAGAGAGAGAGAGAAAGCGAGGGGAATGTTTCTGAGTGGAACAGCCTTTAAATGCATTAATAGGAGACACGTGTCAAACCCCGTAAAAGGAAGGTGCATTGCTTGCACAATCCCGGTTCATATATTCATTCACCAAATCCCTGCTTCTTAGTGTGTTCTTTATTCTTGCAATGAAGATTCTCCGCTGTAAGGAAAAATAACGAAAAGTTATACATGGCGTGGAAATCTTGGATTATAGTTTACCATTCAAATTTTTTGCGGAAAAAATGATAATAAAATTTTTTTAAATATATAAATAATAATTTAATCTCTCATAATATTATAATTCTCTTAAAATTTTTAAATTTTTTTTATCATTAATAAATTTATACAAATTATTAAATCACCCTTGTTAAAAGTAAATAATTTATAAGTTTTGTTTAAATATTAACAACTTTTCTTCTTATATTGCAACAATGTAACAATCACAATTTTATATGTTAAATTTTTTATTTATTATTGCATTGTTGCAATATAAGAAAGAAAGTTATTAATATTTAAAAAAAAACTTGTGAATCATTTATTTTCAACAACGGCAATTTAGTAATTATATAAATTCATTAATTATAAAAAATTTTCAATGGACTTTAGAGAAATTATGGTATTTTGATAGACCAAATTGTTATTTATATATTTCAAATAAATTTTATTATTATTTTTTCTTTTTTATAAGAAAAATAACAGAAAAATTTTTCTTAAATATATGAATCATAATAAGATCTTGTAAAATATAATAATTCTTCTTAAGTTTCTTGAAAATTTTTTGACATTAATGTATTTGGTGAAATGACTATAATGTCCCCAAGTATTGTAAAAGTCATGACTATTTTGATTTAAGTAATGATTTTTTTTTCTACAAATAACTAAAATGGGATGCTAAATGAAAAATTCTACTATGCAAATTTCTTTATCATTAAAGCCCAAGAGTTGTGAAAAGCAATTATTACTTTACTATTCTTCTTTCTGTAATGACTAAAATGAAATAAATAATTATAACTTTCCTCACAAATTTTTTAATCAAAAAAGATCAAAAGTTGTAAATATCAATAATTATTTTAATTTAAGTAATGATTTTTTTTTAACAATAACTAAAACAGGATAAAAAATGACAAGTTGTACAATTTTTTTAATCATTGATATATTTTTTTTATTTTAAATGGGGGCATCATAGTCATTTCATCAACAAAAAAACTGTAGAAAGATTTCAAGGGAGAAAAGAATTATCATATTTCATGGGATTTTATTATCATCCGTATATTTTTGAGAGATTTTTCTCATTTTCTCTTTTTATATATATACGTGAATAAAATTAAATTAATAATAATGTGAAAAGGGAAATAAATTTTATCAATAATTTTTTTAACTATTTGTGTCTCGGTGCGTTGCTCAAAGTTTTACGTGAACCAAATTATTCATCACTCATAAATAGCACTAAATATATATAACTTCCATTGAAATTTCTCAAGACGGATGGTGTATACATAATGATGTATTGTTCATTTTGGTATGGCATGAATAACATTCTAATTTTAGCAAGGGGCCGGGACCTTTTTTTGATGTTAATAATTACTATAACCTTATTTTTTTAATCTTCTATGAATCAGCCAAAAGTAGCTAACATTTTATATTATAATATTATGGGATATTTTGAAAAAATGGAAATTAGTTTTGAACAAATCTCTTTTTAATTAGTAAAATCAGTTACTAATTTTTGAATTTTCAAAATAGTTAACTTATGAAATTAATTACTCTCAATCTAAAATGAATTTAAGAAATATAATTGGACTATTATTTTTCTGTACTAAAAATGCATATTGACAAATTTTCTCAAATATTTTTTCAAAAGTCCAATTTTATAGTCAAAGTACCCCTAATGCATAAAATTCTACACTTAGGCGATTTTTTTTTTTTTTACAATCAATGTAATAAGTGTACAATTTGGTCAAATACAACATGATTTTTTGTCAATAATAACAAAGAAAAGTATATAATAAATGTAATTTATCAATTCCCCTACATTTACCTTTTGCACTTCAGGCAAAATCAATACCAAAAACGAACTTTCTCAAAATCCCAAAATAAGAACAAAGTAAAATAAAACAACTTGTCAAGGGTAATCAAATTAAAATTTTTTTTTTACAAAAATACAAGAGATGTTGCTACCCTTGTTAGAATACCTCATTAACCACAAACAAATCATTAAAGAGATGCAATTTCACAGAGAGAGTCTCACAAGGATAATGTATGCACTCAAGCATTCAAGTGTTTAAGGTTTAATGATTTCACTTGAAATCTTTAGCAAAAATTCCCTACTCTAAGTTTGTAATCCCTCTAAGTCCCTACTACTAATATGCAAATGTCTCAAGAATTAATGCACTTTAATGGGATGTAATGTGGCTATGAAATTGATGCTCTTGAATTTGCAAGTGAAAGTTAGGGTTTGGCTCAAGGAATTAAGTATTGGCCACAATGTAAATATGCAACAACATTTAAATCTTTTTAAGACTTCACTGAGTAAATACAAAGTGAAAAAAGGATAGAAATGTTAGTGGAATGGATGTAAAAAGTAAAAAATAAAATATGTGACTTATAACTTAAGTATTAATCCTTTTATTCAAACTTTTTCTTTCCTTTTTCACTTTTTGCTTTTCCCAATTTTTTCCTTGTCTTTTTTTTTTTCACTTTCTAGTCATCTCAGATATCAAGTAATAGGTGAATAATGTACTTGTTCTTTAAATGAAATGGAAAATGGAAGAATAAAAAATGAGAAAATGAGTTGTGTCCATTAAGTTAACCTAAAGAAAGATGAGAATGTTGAAACACATTTTGAAAACAATAAATGCAATTTATGGTAAAAAAGGGATAGTGTTTAAAAAATGAACAAAATAAACAAAATGCTCAAAGGTCTAACAAAAAAAGTGATCAATCCATTAGGGTTGGCCTTTCAAGTCTCTTGGCAATTTTAATGAATGCCATTATCATCTTCCCTATAACAAATGCAATGATATAGCCTTGATTAAAAGAAAAAACAAGTTATAAAGGGCACAAATGCTAAAGACAAACTACACAAAAGTGTTAAGGCTCCTTTCAACTAAGGTTTTTGCCTCTCTAATCAATTGTGTGCGCACAATCTAAAAGAAAGCTTGTTTAACAAGGTAAAATAACTAAGGCAACATTATTTCAAGAGTTTAAGTTCCAAAAATTCAAAAGAAGTTTCTTAAATAACTCAAGACAAAACAAAATAAATTTTTATAATTTTCCAAAAAAAAATTTAAGAAAAACAAAAAAAGAAAAAATCAAAATATTTTTGCCTCCCCCCACACTTAAATCATGCATTTTCCTTAATGTATGTATAGACATGCCCTTAGACAATGTTTTCACAAAAGATATAAAAAATACAAGAGATATTTTTTTTTTATGCAAAACAAGGTGTCATAACCAAAAGTATGCATGTCTAAACATCCAAAATGGATGTTGCAACATTTAGGCAACCTCAAGGCATATCAACCTAAATGCAACTTTTATGGATGAAAGACTCAACAAGACGCAACAAAACAAGACTCAAGACTAAAAACCAACACTAGACCGAAACCAAATATTTAATTCAAGAATCAAAAACCCTTTATTTTGAAAAAGAAACAGAGGAAACAAACCTAATTCTAAACCTAATGGAAAGGGTCATACCTTCCCCTCATTTAAACTCAAAATGGATACCACAAAGCACAATCACAAACAAGAATCAAGTGATTCACATGAATACACAAGCGTCAGCAGGCATATATCAAAAAGTGATCAACATGTGTGCTAAGTGAATAATCAAAGCAAATAAAGACTGAATTTGAGAGATACGACCTTAAAGCTAATCATGGATGATCAAAATAGAAGTTTGAAACTCTAATGGTAAAATTGAGCTCCTTCTAAGAGCATTGGTTGAATTGTTTACTTGTATGATTATTAATTTACAAATCTATATCTCTTGATCATGCAAAATTTTGCTTAAATTATGTGTAGTTCCACGTGTGAAAATGCACTATATGAGTTTGTGCATTAGTATTTACAATTTCACTCGTGATAGCCTTTTGGTTCCATGTGAGTTTTGATCACACAAATTGGCTTTAGCATTTTGCCAACCATTTCATGTGTAAGAGAGAAAAGGTTCCACACGTGATTTGTCACACAGAACTGATAATAGTTTCTTATGTGTAAAACCATGCATGAGAGCTAATGGTTTACTTATAAGATTTAGCACTTTGATATGTAAGTATATCCATAAGTGTAAAACCACACGAGAATGCAAAGAGGTACCACACGAGTTTTAGAACACATAACTGAATGTTTAGTCATAAGTGCAAAACCACACGAGAGAGCAAAGAGGTACCATATGAGTTTTAGCACACAGAGCTGAATGCTTATTCAAAAGTGTAAAACCATACGTGAAAGGTCAAGGGGTTCACGCATGATTTATCACATATACATTTTTGAAACAATTCAAGTACAATTTACATGTGATTTTATCAGTCACTCACAAGAAATTGCACTAACGAATACAATCATTGTTCCAATGGTCTATCAACTAGAAAAACTATATATGTGATTCATTTTTAGCCAAAACAAGAACTCATGATCCTTGAGTGAACTAATCATCATTTGAGCATTTGAAAAACTTTCAAATTGTGCTTTTACATCTTGCATTCATTATTTTTAAAAAGAATTGTGAAAAGCTTTCAATAGTTTATAAGCTTTCAATTGTAATTTCGTATACTCTTTAAGAGAGTTTCCTGCAAAAGCTTATTTCTTTCTTCAGAAATCTTGAAAATGTATTTTTCAAGTGTTTGTAATAACTTATTGGATTGTAACAAGGTTTATTGAGTGATCCAAGACAAGTCTTGAGAGTTGTATTGTGGTGGCAAATACTCATTGAAGCTTATAAACTTAGTTGAAAATATCA